AAGTTTCTAAAGGTGCAGCTGAAAGAACTTTGACAAGATACCAAGCAACTAAGAAATGGACACATCCAACGAACTGTAGCATCTTGAATACAAGTTTCTAAGGATGCAGTCCAAAAACTTTGGCAAGGTACCAAGCAACTAAGAAATGGACATATACAACGAATTGTACCATCTTGAATACAAGTTTCTAAGGGTGCAGTTGAATTAACTTTGGAAAGATACCAAGCAACTAAGAAATGGACACATCCAACGAACTGTAGCATCTTGAATACAAGTTTTTAAGGATGCAGTCCAAGAACTTTGGCAAGGTACCAAGCAACTAAGAAATGGACATATACAACGAATTGTAGCATCTTGAATATAAGTTTCTAGGAATGCAGTCCAAAAACTTTGGCAAGGTACCAAGCAACTAAGAAATGGACACATCCAACGAATTGGACCATCTTGAATACAAATTTCTAAAGATGCAGTCCAAAGAACTTTGGAAAGATATCAAGCAACTCACAGGTGGACACATCGAATGAACTGTAGCATCTTGAATACAAGTTTCTATGGATGCAGTCCAAATAACTTTGGAAAGATATCAAGCAACTAACAGGTGGACACATCCGACGAACTGGAGCATCTTGAATACAAGTTTCTAAGGATGTAGACAAATAAACTTGGTAAGGTACCAAGCAACCAAGATCTTGAACTGAAAACCAAGAACAGGGAGAAAATGCATGACAACTCCAAATACATTTCTTTTTCACAGAAGAGCAACTGTTTCCCAATCCAACAACAGGTTAACCCAAATCATGGTCTAAAGAATCCAACAGTGACGAGAACATTCACTTCTGTTGGACTTAATGAACTAGTTTCTGTAGTTAAACACTTTTAGGTTAAAGTAATAAGTTAAAATGACTGGGCCACTTTTAAGGTAAAATAATAATATTCAATTGACTGAACCACTTTAAAGGTAAGATAATATGTTCAAACGACTGGAAATATGCAAAGTATAGTATAGAAGATGGAAATAGAGTTCTTTCCACAGATGAATTAAATGTTCGTCTGATTTTCAGTGACAGATTAGCGAAAATTGTTTAAAACCTTCAGTCAAAGCTGTCTACAGATCTGGATAATTGTCACTCAACACTTGATTGCCATGGTCTAGTGGGTTAAAATTAACTAGTAGTGGCTCTATTTTCCAACAGGATAATGACCCCAAGCATACTTGGTTAAGTGGTTAAAGATTAATTAGTAGTGGCTTTATTTTCTAACAGGATAACGATTCCAAGCACACATGGTCTTGTGGGTTAAGTTTAATTAGTAGTGGCTTTATTTTCCAAGAGCATAACTATCTCAAGCACACATAGTCTAGTGAGTTAAGATTAATTAGTAGTGGCTTAATTTTCCAAAAGAATAACGCTCCCAAGGACGCGTGGTCTAGTGGGTTAGGATTGATTAGTAGTGGCTATATTTTCCAACAGGATAACGCTCCCAAGCACACATGGTCTAGTGGGTTAATACTAATCATTAGTAGTGGCTTTATTTTCCAACAGGATAACGCTCCCAAGCACACATGGTCTAGTGGGTTAATACTAATCATAGGTAGTGGCTATATTTTCCAACACGATAACGCTCCCAAGCATACATGGTCTAGTGGGTTAATACTAATCATTAGTAGTGGCAATATTTTCCAACAGGATAACGCTCCCAAGCACACATGGTCTAGTGGGTTAATACTAATCATTAGTAGTGGCTTTATTTTCCAACAGGATAACGCTCTCAAGCACACATGGTCTAGTGGGTTAAGATTAATTAGTAGTGGCTTTATTTTCCAACAGGATAACGCTCTCAAGCACACATGGTCTAGTGGGTTAAGATTAATTAGTAGTGGCTTTATTTTCCAACATGATAACACTCCCAAGCACACATGGTCTAGTGGGTTAAGATTAATCAGTAGTGGCTTTATTTTCCAACTCGATAACGACACCAAGCATACATGGTCTAGTGGGCTAAGAAAACAAAAGCCAGGGATAGCAAAACTCATTGAATTCTTCCCCCACCTCCAAACCTCAGTTCTAAGCAGCACTAATGAGATAATCTAAAATATAAATGGCAGCCCCAAAACTTGCATTGGTGTTGTAGATTAATTGAATAAACGTCTTACAACCTATAAAGGGAGGGACACCAGATACCAGTTTTACTTTATTTATATTTTTGTCTTCAAATAAACGTAGCGGATCCCATTACTGATGGAATAAATTTCATATCTAAATATGTGCTTTATTTCAAAACAATAAAAAGGGCTCCATCTTTTGGATCCTACTTTCCAAAAGAATGGGAAGATGGCAGGTTATTTATTAATACGTTATTCTACTTGAAAAAATATGTCCAAGCAGAATTGTTTGCTTAGAATAAACAAAACAATAAATTGGTGAAACTGTTCTCATAGAATTGTATTAAAAATACAATTTTTAGGAGTGTACTCTTTCTAATGAATCTGCTAGGACCTGGCAATTTTTTACATGATTTAAACTCGCAATCAGAGGTATCGGGTTCGAATCCCGACACCGAAAATGTTCGCCCTTTCAGCCGTGGAGGCGTTATTATGTGATAGTCAATCCCATTAGTAATTGGTAAAAGAGTAGCCCAAGAGTTGGCGATAGATGTTTAGTCCATCACTGATAAATTAGGGAGGTTATGAGATTGCCCTCGAGTAGCTTTGGGCGAAATTCAAAACAAACCAAACTATAATCTGGTACGTTTCAGTAAACTATAGCAAAGGTACCCGGTTATGTTGGGCTTAAAAAAAATTGCTATAAAAGAAGCGTGGGTCGCCACTTTAACTATTTTGAGTCAGCACACTACTCGTTTGTACGATGCAAAGATACCCGTGCTACGCGCGACTTTAAACGTAACTTTCGTTTGACGTCGGCTTCACGTATTTTGATACGGCCTTCCTCATTCACTACATTAAAGTGGCAAACTAGAAATTTCTGCCAAGCTCAAACCGTTGTCCGATGGCTTATCCATTTATTTTGGATCTTTGGGATGTCAAACTGAGTTCCTCTATCACATTTAATTGTAAGTGGTTCAGCCAATTCCTTACAACTTGTAAGACCAGACAAACAGACGGGAACTGTTTTATAAACACATACACACACACACACACATATATATATATATATATATGAATATAAAAAATACTCGCTTATGTTTTGACGTCAAATATTTAATAGTATACAAGATATATGTAATGAATGATCTTTTCGTCTGCAAGTACTTTTAGTCAAAAAGTGGATCTTGTTGAGCTTATCGTTCCTTCGTGAACTCAGTAATTGAAAATATCAGTTAATCAAAGTATGCTTCTTGAAATAAAAACAGCTATTTTCTTAAGATATATTTAGAATGTTTGTTTCTGAGCGAAAAGCTGCAGAATGGGCTATATGCACTAAGTCCGCAGCAGGAATCGAACCCAGAATTTCAGCATTATAAACCTTAAAGCTTACCGCTTAGCTGCCGGAAGTTAAACCCATTTAAACTATTTACAGATATATATTTGAAAAGTAGGCGTTAAAAACATTACCTGTTCTTTTGTGTTTGGAATATCCTCACAGGAACTGGTTTTTTCCTTACAAAACTCTATCAGAAGTTTTCTGTTGTCTTTTGTCTTGTATTTCTTGTAGAACTTCTTTAAACTTTCTTCAAGTTCCGTTTTAAACGTTTCTGTAACATAATATTTTATCACTTAAACAACCAACGTCATGTGTATTATATCAATTGAAAAACCAACAACATGTATATTATATCAACTAAACAGCCATCATGGGTATTATATCAAGTAAACAACCAACATCATGTGTATTATATTAATTAAACAACCAACCTCATATATATTATATCAATTAAAGAACCAGCATCATGTATATTATATCAATTAAACAACCAACAATTACGAAACACCAAATTTGTGAGATCAACAAGTATAATCCACTTTTTGTGTTGTCTTCACAGAAAAGAAATATACCTGTGTCATACACTAGTTGATTATTTGGAGTACCCGTCCCCTGGACGGAAGTTATGTAAATTCATGATTAATGAAAGGTTATCTTAGGACATGAAAAGTTGTTTCCCTTATATGTAATTGTAAAAAACTCAAATATGCCCATAAAAACTGTAAAAAAAAAACTACAACATAATGTGAATCCGCCAATTTGCATGCATCTCAGCATGACCAAACAACCTTCACACCAAATTTATTGAAGATTCATCCACAGGAGGCGAAGTAGTGTTAAACAACGCAAAAACGCCTATAAAAACCAAAAAATGCAAAATTGAAAATTTGTATGTATCTCCCCATGGACCCAATGAGCCTCCATACCAAATTTGGTGAAGATCTATCTATAGGGGGCGAAGTTGTTACAGGGACACACAACAGATAACATACAGTACTATTATATTTATATAGCTATATAACAGAATGCACAAAACAGTAATTAGTTTTTTAAAGAGTTCAAAAGTTTCTTACCAGTCACGTAATTACAGGCTTTTACCATTTTGGGTGGACTAAATTTGTAAACAAGAAAATTGTTTACATTACACAGGTTTCTAACACTTGATGTTACCGCCTTTTTATGGCCTGAAGAGTCTTTCAGTTGCTTGTGGAGCTCTGGTGGCAAGATTATATATATAAACGTGTCATTTTATAGAACAAACAAATATGATTTTATAAGCACTACAAAATTCACGCTTTTTGATAACTTTCTCGAAACTCTCAATATAAACGAAACTTTAGGCTCGTAACGAACCTTACCATAAACCTTTGCGAAGTTAATCTGAGAATAGAGGACAAACGTTTACTATGTTGTTGTGACACTAAAAAGTTTCAAGTCTGAAAATGCTGTTTTACAAATATTTTCATTCTATATTCACTTTACATTTTGATAAAAACGAATATGCAAAGAAAGCGACTGATGGGGAAATAATTACTGCAAGCGTCAGTTATGTTCAATGGTGTAAAAGACAATCTATGCATGAATTAAACTGTTATATCACTTAAATAATGAATTAAACTGTTATATTACTTAAATAATGAATTAAACTGTTATATCAGTTAAATGATGAATTAGTCTGTTATATTACTTAAATTATGAATTACACTGTTACATTACTTAAATCATGAATTAATCTGTTATATTACTTTAATCATGAATTAAACTGTTATATTACTTAAATGGTGAGTTAAACTGTTATATTACTTAAATCATGAATTAATATGTTATATTACTTAAATCATGAATTAAACTGTTATACTACTTTGATCATGAATTAAACTGTTATATTACTTAAATGGTGAATTAAACTGTTATATTAGTTAAATCATGAATTAAACTGTTATATTACTTAAATCATGAATTAAACTGTTATATTACTTAAATCAAGAATTTAACTATTATATTAGTTAAATCACGAATTAATATGTTATATTACTTAAATCATGAATTAGACTGTTATATTACTTAAATCACGAATTAATACGTTATATTAGTTAAATCATGAATTAAACTGTTATATGACTTAAATGGTGAATTAAACTAATATACAGTTTAATTCATTATTTAAGTAATATAACTGATTAATTCATTATTTGAGTAATATAACCAGGTACATCTATAGTGTAACCACTAGAAAAACCATGACCACTACCCTTGATCACAAGGAAAATCTTGACCACTACACTACACTTGATCACAAGAAAAATCATGAGCACTACACTTAATCAAAAGGAAAGTCATAACCAATATAATTATTGACAGAAAGCAAGACCAAGTAATTATATACCAGCACCAGGTGTCAATAAAATACAATGAGTTATTATCCTTTTTCTGTCCTGAAAGTATTCTAAAATATCATAGAACGTTTTTACTTCTTTTATTTGCCATCAGTTAAAAGGCAATTTAAACGCGATTAAAAATTAATAAAAAAACTTATAAAAGTAGCTGTATCGAGTTGTAGTTAAAGTTGCGTGATTCTAGGTAGTGAAACGGATTTCTATAATTTAACACTAACATTAGATCAGTTGTCAAACAATACCAGCTTATTTAACTTGTTCGTGTGTGTTTCCAACAATTTAAAGTTTTCTTACCTAATAACACAGCAACACATCCTTCACAGAGAAGCGCTGCAAAAAAGCAAATACTGTGTTTAGAAGAAAACAAATTTTTATTAAAAAACAAACAAAACATTGGAAAAAAATGTCAATTTTTATTAGTTCCAATGTAAAACTTAGCTTCGTTCTTATCAAATAAGATATACTTGTATATAACGATTTCTTACAGGACTTTAAATGATATATATATAGTAGAAAAGTTGATAGACTGGTATCTGCCGAACTTGAAGTCAGTCTGTTTTATAGCAAAATAACTAATTAAAAAAAAGTTCAAACATTCATAAAGACATCGGAGAAAATGTAGGTTTTATATATACACATTCACACACATCTTACTTTTTAAAACAAGAGAGTCTGCTTTTCAGTTAAAGTTCACAATCAGGCTTTTGTATTCCCGTGTTTAAAGTTCTAACCCAAAAAACCGTATACTACACTGAATATATATATGTACGTAGTTGAAAAGATTTCGGTTAAAGTTCAATAAACAGGAATGATCATGACTGCACCTTACACAACACATAACGCACGTGACAGTCCCATAAATATGTTGTTAGTAAGTCTTTACTTTTCAAACCTGCCAACACCGAAAAATGAAAAATAAAAAGGTATGTTTCCAAACCCTCCCTCCTATTGGTTGTAACAGCGCATAAAAGCACAACGCGCAATGCTTGCCCAATTCGGAAAATAATAATAATAATAACAATTTTGTACTTCCAAAGTGTTCTAATGCGGGAGTTGAAGTGGCAAATTGAGTATTTGTAAAAATATCACTGTTGTTAAAGTAAGCCACATGAAAGAATCTGAAAAAGGAAACTAATATAGTCCAACGTCGTAATGTGCACAGTATAATCAATATTGGATATTGACCATCTAGTCTGCAACACATAAATCAGTTGGGGCTGTTTTTGTTCACTGGAATTTCAAATGAAGGATGAAAAAAAAAGTAAAACCCGAAAAACCAGTAGAACGCAAAAAAAAAAGAAGAAAGAAAATAATTCACTAGACCATGAAATAACGTCACCAGCTAAACAGAGGACTTGGCGGCAAATATAATTCCACGCAAAAATAAAGGTGTAAGGTGTCCTTAACTAAACATTGTTTGTAACCATTTATTAAACGTAACTTTGAAAATAGCCGGTAAGTTTAAAAATAGCTGGTAAGTTTAAAAATAGCTGATAAGTTTAAAATAGCCGATAAGTTTGAAAATAATTGTTAAGTTTAAAATAGCCGGTAAGTTTGAAAATAGTTGTTAAGTTTAAAATAGCCGGTAAGTTTAAAAATAGCTGATAAGTTTAAAATAGCCGATAAGTTTGAAAATAGTTGTTAAGTTTAAAATAGCCGGTAAGTTTGAAAATAGTTGTTAAGTTTAAAATAGCCGGTAAGTTTTAAAATAGGTGGTAAGTTTAAAAATAGCTGATAAGTTTAAAATAGCCGGTAAGTTTAAAGATAGCTGGTAAGTTTAAAATAGTCGGTAAGTTTAAAGATAGCCGGTAAGTTTAAAAAATAACCGCTAAGTTTTAAAATAGCCGGTAAGTTTAAAAAATAGCCGGTAAGTTTAAAAATAGGTGGTAAGTATAAAATAGCTGATAAGTTTAAAATAGCCGATAAGTTTAAATATTGTTATCAGAATGATAAAGCTCTTCTGTTTGTGGGTTTACTAAAAGTTTTCATGAAGTAAAAATCTAAACTATTAACATAATGATATTTAAAACTCGTAGTCCTAATACATATTTGTCGAGCGTGATATTTAAGACGGCTATACCTGAATCTTGGGGTCAGATTGAAAATACCTAATGTATGTTTTTAAGTATGCTAATTTTAATGGCCTACGCAAATAGAAAAACAAACAAATTAAAAATAAACAAACAAATATTATTAGATTTACTCTAGACAAAAAGAAAGTCGTACGATGGTCAAATAAAATTTTCTGTCTTGTAAATTTGTTCAACGATGTTAGGCATGTTTGGTAAATGGCTATGGATGATTTTTAACTTTATATTTCCTTCATTCAAAACTAAATTATCGTTGAGGTTAACTTGCAAATAACTGCTTTTCTTTAAGAGTTTTATGCTCAGAAGAAATTAGCAACTCCCCCTTCTCTATCATCCCTGTATAAACTTAAGTGAATATTAACCCTAATTCAAGTTGAAACTTACGTTGTCCAACTTTCTGAGGAGGAGACTTTGTTTCGCCACCTGCCGTTAAATTCACACAACATAAAAATAAAAGCAGGACAGGTAAATGTAACCAAGCCATGCTGACTGCTCAAATCCTAAGAAGATTCACAGCTCCAATTCTTTGCTTTAGAGTAAACTTTTCTTAAGTGGGCAAATCTTCACAAAACTCTAGACTTTTTACTGTTCTTAAGTGACTTCTACACAAAGAGAGGCTTGTTGAACTTTGATATATTAACGCCCATTTAAACAATCTGAAATAACGGATAAATCGTCCTTCAATGTCTTTATAATAACAATACATTGTTATCTTCATACTAAAGTAAACTATTGTTGAACTTTGTTCTCCAACTATAAGCACAGTTTTGCTATTCATGCTAGTTCTTTCAAAATATACAATTTCACGTATACAGTGTTATAGTTATCTATCTGTCAATTAATATG